TTGCCACTTGAGTTTACAAACACGGAAGGCTTTGTCAGTGATCTTGGTGTTCCAGCGGACTTCTTCATTTCGAATTTCATCTACCAGAGAAACTCCGAGCATAGCTCTTTCCATCGCTTGCTGAACGACTTTGAGGTTGTGGAGTGGCCGTATTGTCAGTGTCCACGTTTCGGCACCGTGAGTACGGGCAGAAAGCACTGATTGAAGATTTTGTCTTCAGACTTTGCGGTATGGACGACGAGAAAACCCGACGGAGTTTTCTAAATTAACCCTCAGATCGGCTTCCTTCTCGAAGTTATTTTTACCTTGTTGCAATATCTGCCCGAGGCAGGTATATTCCTGGAGAACTTCGAGAATTTCACCATCAACAGTAATTGGAACTGGCATGACGTGATCGTTGAGCATGACTTTTGTTTTGTTCAGATTCATACACAGACCAACACGATGGGAGGATTCATTAAGCCTATTCAGCATGTCCTGAAGTTCTTGCAACGATTCTGGCATAACATCGATATCATCAGCAAAGCGTAATTGTAAGATGTACTCACCGTTTACGTTAATGCAGAGTCCTTTCCAGTCTAGCGTCTTAAAAACATCATCCAGTGCATTTGTAAACAGTTTAGGGGATATAGCACCCTCCTGTCTCACTATGCGATACAACTGGATTGGTTTAGTTTGACTGCCCTGTACTTGGACGGACATCGTAGTGGTATTTTAAAGGCATTTCAGCACTTCGATGTACCGCCAGCCAATTTGGCAAACAATCTAGAATAGCCCAAGTTTCGATAGAGTTAAAGGATTTCTTATAGTCCACAAATGTAAGACACAGGCTGATTATTATACTCTGTTGTCTCCTGTATTATTTTCCGCACTGTGTGAATATGGTCTATAAGTGCCAAATCCTCCTCGAAACCCAGACTGTTCCGCAGGCTGAAAGTCATCGAGTCTTCGCGCGAGTCGATGATGACTCTTGAAAACAACTTATAGATGTGGCTCAGAAGCGAGATTGTTCGATAATTTTGCAACAGTCTCGTCTCCTTTCTGGTAAAACAAGACTGTAATGCTTCTGCTCCGCGCCTTTGGAGTTCTCCCATCCCGTATGACGCAGTTAAAAACTCGGCTGAACTTTTAACTGCGTCAAACAAGGGTTGACCCCCAACCTTTAATAGCTCTGTTGTAACTCCATCTTCTCCAGGGGCTTTTCTATTTTTAAGTTCAATCTCCCCAAGGCAGATGTCTGGCAGCTCGTCGGCATAGTGGCGGGTCAGCGTCGCTTTGGGATCATCGTATTTAGGGTCAGGTTGTGGCTTATGTGAGGCATATAGTTTGCCATAATAGTCTTCGATCTCAGAGAGAACCTTAGACTTTGACATGAGAACTTTGCCATCATGCGTCTGCAGTAAGCAAATACTTTGTGAGTAACTTGTCCTTGCTGCCTTGTTTCGCTCTATTGCCGCTTGTATCGCAATTGCATTAGAGCGACGCAAGTCCCGCCTCACAGCTTTTCTCACAAGCTTGGTTAGTGTAACCTGTTCCAATGGCGTTGCTGTTGTTAACTCACGCCTTCTTTTCATAAGCTAAAGTGTCACATCTGAGTACTTCGACGTTCGGCATGTTGCCCTCATCCCTTAAGATCTTGATCACGCTGATAAGGTCCTCGTCAATATCCACCGTGAGTCTCAAGACATCGAATCGGTTTTTAAGTTCTAGCTGGAAGCGTTGGGAGCCAGTTACGGTTTGAAGCAGATTTGGTCGAATGGTGGACTTTGTCAATCGAGACCTTTCAAGCGTAAAATCGATATTCAGAGTGCCTCGAACAAGGCGATTTCGGTATTGGAGACATCTCTGAATATGTGCCTTTTGTCCGTCGTGATGAAGTCAATCTCATTTTTTGTAATGTTATCGGGACTGCGCCAGGTCCACTTCCTTTGGGGCTTCTTCTCCAAAAACGAATTTATCAGAAATAGCCCCTATTTTTCGAGGAAGTTGATCAGCATTTGCCCCCTGTGATTTCTGCTTTCAGCACCGTGGGGTACCAAAATCGATTCGACACCCGTGTGCTTACCCATCTTGGCATTAAAATCCCCCATAACAATATTGTAGTGGGCCTTAGTGGTGTTATGTAAGACCCTACTAATGTCTTCATAAACAGTTTCAATTTCATCATCCGAATATGCCGAGGTCGGGGCATAAACTTGTACGATCTTCAGAGACTCTTTAATAACTTCTGAACGTTGTCAGTGAGGATCCTGTGAACACTCCCCCCCCCCCCTAAAGTAGAGCATTTGGCCCTATTGCAGAGTGTGTCCTCCTCCTGAACCCTACAATATGGCATCTTATATTTTCCAGCTCAGCTTCCAGTTCGTAAATGTTTCCGTCTTGCCACAGAGTACGTCCATTATATGTCACCAAGTCCAGTTTTTGGTGGTAACCCGTCCTATCCCGGTGATTCTTTGCATCCGCCACCATGGCCAGGAACAATTGGCGACCGGGAACTGGGAGCCATGTTTTTGTGGTGCTCTACATGGGAGGATTTGCCCTTAATCGCTACGCTGGGCAAGCGGGTTGGCGATCGCAGTGCCAGACACATCGCACCAGTAAAGTGCCAAACACATCACACATGTAATGCTGCTGCCCATCATAGGCCTGGGCATTTTTAGTCTGACGATGACGGGGATTGTTATACAGCCATCCGTCGGAAGCCTAAAGGTCTCTTTTTTTAATGGCATGTCTCTCTGTCGGCTCGTACATCCACGGGATGAGAGGGAGTGGCAGTATTCTAGGCCCCTGCCACACAGCAAGTGTATATATATGTATATATATATATATATATATATATATATATATATATATATATATATATATACATATATATACATATATAAGCTAGTGATATACAGCTCGATTCAAACTTAATGGCGGTTCGGAAGTTAGCTGCGAGTGCAGGTGCGCGCAGGTACAGTCAAGTTGACAAAAATTTAGGCTCAATTTAATTATTTTAATAACTGAAAGTTTTGTGTTTTAAGTTCTGTACATATGTACATAAATGTCAGTTAGCAAGTATGAGGAGGGTTCAAGGAAGAAAAATACAGATGAATTAAGAACCTCATCCTTTTTTGAAGTCGGTTAAAAATAAAACAGATTTTATAAATAATATATAAAGTTTTTATTTTCATTTTAAGTTAAGGGCTGTATCCCTTCCATAAAAACGTCTTTGCTTGTGGAAGGAGCTTCCATGGAAACATCACTTCCTTCGTCTTCGCTGGAATCTGATTCCTCCTCAGACTCGGTATCTGATTCATCGTCGCTGACATGGATTATAAATTCGTCCGTCAATCTATCAACGACAACGTCACTTTTTTTGTACTCTTCCTCTATCTTGATCACTTTTCGGCACAATGCCATTCATTTTCCCCCATTTCGTTAACTTTTTGCTGGACCAATTCCATGACTGAATTTACGTTCCTGTTAACATTTTTTTTTGCGACGTATTGTTTTATTGCTGCCCATGCCATCTCGATGGGGTTTAAATCGGGGTGGTAAGGGGGGAGACGTAAAACTAAGTGGTTATTCTCTTTCAATATTTTATCGATGTTAAATTTTTTGAAGCGTTCTTTATTCTTCGCAATTAACTTGTATAGTTGTGGCTTCAGCATTGTTTCCTCAAATTCAATATTTTTTTCACGAAGCCATGATTGCATGTCTGCTTTTCTTGAGTTTGAGGTAGGTGCAGGATCTTCTTGTTTGTTGTGATAAGAAGCATTATCTACAACAACGACTGAATTTGCTGGCAAATTTGGAACGAGTTGATTCTTGATCAATTTTTCATAATTTTCATAATTCATGTTATCATGATAGTCGCCGGTTTTTGTACCCGCCTTAAACATTAAAAGTGCGTTGGGTACAAAACCGACTTCAGAACCCGCGTGCACTATTACAACTCTTTGACCCTTCGAAATTTTCTTTTTAACTCCCATTTGTGACCCATCTCCCCAAGCCTTTGACATGCTGTGGGAAGAATCGACATAAGACTCGTCGGTATATATAATGGGTCTGCCTTCCGAGCGATATTTTGTAATACTATGCAGATATTCAATGCGCTGTAAACGAATATTAGACTGCTCTATTAATACTTTTCTCTCATTTTGGGTGTTCTTCCATTGAAACCCTAATTGTTTCAATATTCGGCCTAAGCTGGTTACAGAACCGTTGAAATTTATGTCGTCTTTTAATTTTCTTTGTAATTGTTTAAGTGTTGGCAACTCTTTTTCAGTCACGTGAAAGTTGTGCATGCACCTTTTGATGACACCATGGTCGAAGCTGTCAATATTCGTCACTCTCTTGACTCCCTTCCTTTTTTTGCCAGAAGTACGAAAGACGGCTAGCATCTCCGACTCATTTGCTGTTGCAGCTATTCTTTGTACAGTCCTTAGTGAGACGCCTGTAGCTGCTGCGGCTCGTTTTTGAATGAGCTTCAGAGGAATTTGGACGCCGTCTTCACTCTCCTTTTTCATAAATTGCACGACATTATACACCATTTTTCTGGCTTGCCTGCGTAAAACGTTGTATCGTCCGCGTGGCATATTTAAACAAAATAATAAAAGTACTTTCCCACAACCAACAACAGTCTAAAACTTAATGTGTGTAACACACAGATGAAAACAAAACAGTCAATAACAATAAAAACTTAACGGAACAAAAACAAACAAAAAAACGTAACAAAACAATTAACAAACAGTAACAAATTATGGGCTCAACTGTACGTAAGCAGGAGTGAACGTAACTCAAACACTAAAAGCAAACGCGTCGCGTGAGTGCGTATGAGACAGAATGCGCGGGGATGTGCCCCGCCACCACGTCCCTCTACATCCCGCTGATACCCAAAAATTGTGTTCTGCGCATCGGAACGTACGATGTTCCGAGCCGCCATTAAGTTTGAATGTATGTATAATTGTATAATTAAATAAAACCAAACAATGCACAAATAAAATGTTTATTATCTAATCATAGCCAAACTTTTCAACGTCTTTCTGTTTCGCCTCCTTTTCCTCTACGACTTTTTTGGTGTCTGACTTCACTTCTGGCACCTCAGTACCGATTTTAGTTGATTTAATGAGACCATTCTCATCGGCCAACGGTAAAATGTTGCATATCAATGGTGATTCAACGCCAAGGATATAATGGCAAGTTCTTGGTTCCAAAAGATACAACGATACTTGAGCTGGACTCGAGGAATTCTCCAAACATTTAAGTTTAACTTCGGTCTGCCGAGGTTTGTCGGTTTTATCGCATACGTCGCCGCCAGAATAGAAATGTGATATGGACGTGCGGACATCTGCAAACAAAAAATAAATCAATTTGCGTATTGTGGGCTAATCACAATAAATGATATATTATAATAATAATCTCCTCGAGTCCGAATTTCGATCACGTCGGCCAGACTGAGCAGACTGGCTGACGTGATCGAAAATGAAATCTGCTCATGTCCTGTCATAGTGCCCGAGTGTATGCGCAAGCATCATGCAATGATCAGGGCCAGGAGCGACGGCTTTACGTGCTTTCCGAGGCACGGGGGTGAATCACCGCCAACTGCCTGACTCCGAGCTGCTACTGAGAATTTCTTGTCAAGAAAACCCAATTAAATTTTGGCCCGACCCTGGATTCGAACTTCTGTCTGACTAAGATAGATTGCCTCACAGCCTGCAAAAATACTTACTCTTTACACCCTTCAGACCGCAATACACAGCAATACAGACACTGCTATTTGGCGGCTATAGGTAAGTGGTTGGTACGTACCCATATGGACCCCTAGACAGGAAAGGAGCCCTGCCATCTACAAAGTAGAGGTTGCTACTGATTAACTCAACAATCAAACTTACCTTTTTTATAGTATAGGCTGTTGCTGTGATAGATAGCTGTGACCCCTTAGACATCTAGATCCACAGTAAAGAATCAAAACGCATATGTGTTGTCTCCCGTGAGGACTAAGATGGAATGCCTCATTTCCAGTAAAAAGGGTCTCCGGTTCTCTACACTCACCATACGAAACACAGCAGAACTAAACTGCTTATTTACACTGGTATTCTGTGAGAGCATGGTCCTTCGAGCCAACCCATTCGCAATTTCTTACCTACTACTTACTTATTTAAATTTCTTATTACCTTTTTTTATAATATAGGGTGACAAACGAGCACACAGTCCACCTGATTGTAAGTGGTTGCTGTGACTCATAGACATCTACATTTATAATCGATGACGAATCAAAATGCAGATGCTTTGTCACCCGTGAGAACTAACATGGAATGCCTTGTTTCCAGTAAATATCCGGTTCTCTACACTCACCATACGAAATACAGCAGCATTATGCTGCTATTTTACGCTGGTATTCTGTGAGAGCGTGGCCCTGTCGAGCCGACCCATTCGAAATTTCGATTATAAATGCAACAATGCAAATGACATTTCCAAGGTTGCTCACTGTCATATATTTTTTAATAGAATAAGGGTGACAAACGAGCACACATTTCACCTGAAGGTAAGTGGAGGCTGTGGCCCATAGACATATACATTTATCCTCTATTAAGAATCAAATTGCAGATACGTTGTCACCACTAGAACTGAGACGAAATACCTCGTTTCCAGTAAAAAAATGGGTCTCCGGTTCTCTACACTCACCATATGAAACTACACCACATTAAGCTACTATTTTACACTGATATTCTATGAGACGTAGTACTACCCCAGTCGAGCCGACCCATTCGTGCTACAACCATAATATTATATACATACTGCTGCAGCGTGGTTCTACCACGTATAAAATATCATACGAAAGTAACAGATCAACTTACCGATTGGTTTAGGTGCTTTGCCCCTGTTCTCCTTGATCCACTCTAGGTGGGCCTCTTCGTTGAACTTGCCGAGAAGCAAAGTGGTCTTTTCGCCGTTCCTGTCCACGTGGTACTGAATCACGTGTTTCCCGTAGCAGAACTCGTATTTCCACCAACCTGTACCCTGGGAATTGGGAATAGAAAAATATTTTTTTTTTCAAAGTCAAACTTCAGAATCCTTCGTGTGTAGTGGAGGAGTAAGAATTCACTATGTCATTATGATCCCGTAGATGTCGTAATTAGTTATTGTTAAGTTAGTTTAGTTTTAGGCATTCCCCATAGATTACCTCATAGAGGGGATATTTGCCATAATTGCCACGCTTGGCATTTGGATTGGCAATCGCAGTTTTTTTTTTAGATGTAAGTCTACGTTACTGCTCATCTCCTGGTTTGATCCTCTCTGTCGCCTCTTACAACACCCACAGGGTAACGTGAGGTAGTGGATATTCTTACACCGACACTACACTGTAACGTCTACTATGTATCAGATATAAAACACAAGTAGCTCGGTGTTAAGGAGCGGGGACAAAGTTGTCTGGCGCTGGGAACGAAGAAAAACTATAGGACCGTACTTGTGGCAGCGGCAGTGACCATAATGGGGGAACTGCCTTCACAGTTTATAGTTCATCTTTTAACGCCACACTTAGGGGCCTGCAATTTATAAACAACTGACGGTGATATACATGTAACTGATATTATATTATGTACAGCGACCCACTCCGACTTCACCTGGTTGGGATCTATTGATGTGACGTCTTTTAGATTTTTAAAAATAATCATCAATTCGTCGCTAGCGCCGCAAAAGGGCGAACCACATTTTTTTAAAGATTGAAAGGATCAAGAAAAAATTTATTATGCCACGATTACTAGCTTTTTCATCATCAGAAAATTTAATTTAATATTAGACTTAATGGAAATAAATAATGAATTACTAAAAATATTGAATAAAACTGATTTAATAAAAATAATGAAATAAGATTCATTCATCGCTGTCATTTTCGAGCACGGCTCCCGGCAAGTACTTATAATAAGGCAGTTTCCGAACCTCGAGGCCGTATTTCAGAGCGTGCTTCTGGTGTAGAACCCTAGCTACCAGATTGTGCCTGTGCAAGTACTCAGAGTTAGAAAGAGCCGAAAATTGAGGTAGGAAGGCGCTCTTCAAACTAGGTAAGACAGATCAATTTTTTTTATTTTTAACGTGGATCTTAGCTATATTTAACGCGGATAGCTATATATATTTTTAATCTTCAACTTACCCCGTTTAAGCAATTCTCGCCATTGAGGAAAGCGCGTACAGGCGTGTCATCCTTGACGGTTGATAGAGGTTTGTCTATCATGGGCGTCGTTTTGGACTCTTCCGTTACCTCCTCCTCGTTTAACGGATGCAGTTCAAACTTAAGGTGCGTTTCGCCGTCCTACAAACATGTTGAACCGTTAATGTCAAGAAATATTAAGTCATATGCCTTATTTCAAGAGCCGTGGCTCATGGTCTAACTTTTACAATACCCCCAACGGCACTAACGAAATTGTTCATTGCAATTATATACAATACTGAAAATTTAAATAGAAATAGAAAGAAAAACTTTTTTATTCGATATAGATTATAAATAATACTTATTGAACGTCATTCTTATGTTTAATATTCTCCTAACTAACACCTATGTGGACTAAGGTGGAATGCCTAACAATCTGTAATTATACGGGCTCTTTATATCCTTCACACCAGAACCACACAGTGCTGGTACTGCTATTTGGCGGCAAAAATAAGTAACAGGGTGTTACCTAGCCAGACAGAGTCCTACCCAGAAAATGAGTCTTAGGCTCGTATTAATAAACGTTACTCAGCTCAAGTACACGCACTTGAGTACAATCTTGAGGTTATGGTCTTATTAATAAACATATCTCAAGATGCGGTTAAGGTTTACGATTTCAGCTGAGTGACACGCTGATTAATAAACGAAACTCGCCTCTAAGTGTGTGTACTTGAGTGCAAGTCACAGAACAGTATTCTTACGTACAGAGTTTTTACTGATACTGTTACGATACTGTTTTATGTGTTTATTAATTAGCAACGATCTTGAAATGCTGATATCGTAATGAGAGCGTATCAAATGATTACGCACTTGAGTTCGTCGTTGCGTAACGTTTATTAATACGGGCCTTATACCTCGACAAATTTAAGGGTTAAAAAGGAATATCAAAGCAGATGTATTTGTGGAAGTTTAAAAAACCTAAGATGACCATGCGTTAAAAAAAATATTTTAAAATACAATGGGACGTGGTAGAGCCACTTTGCAACAGTTGCAGCACGAATGCGTCGGTCCGACCGCACTACAACCACCGTAGCACAGAATACCAACGTCAAATAGCAGCGAATTGCTTCCATTTCATATAACTCTGTATTGTGAGTGGCGCGAACCGGAGACCCTGGTACTACTGGTAATGAGACATTCTATCTTAGTCCTCCGAAGTGACGACGCATATCTGCACTTCGGTTCATAATTGGGAATAGATGAAGGTGTCTATGGGCCACAGCATAACCATCATGCAGTTGTTTGTCAGCCTTACTTGAATTAAAAAAAAAACAGGCACGCATAAGGACTGCCGACAGAAGTGAAAACTCAATGATATATGCGTATACATGTACATAGGCAGGCCGATATACTACCTCGACATGCTCGTGACGTCACGAGCGTGTCGAGGTCACCGGTGACGCGAACCCATAAAATTTTCCGCTACTAAATATCGCTCAACGCGGCTAAAGAAGTCTTCACTCCAAAAAGGACAACAATATAAGTGGGAAAGTCTAAAATGTTACACGAATCCTCCGTGGCGCAGTGGCTTAGCAATGAGTTGTTGCGCTGGGGCCGCGGGTTCGAATCCCGCACGGAACAAAATATTGTTACAAATAATTGTTCCGGGTCTGGATGTTTGTCCTCGTGCGATTTATACTTGTAAACTGCCTCCACGATACAGGAGAAAATCCTAGTGTGGGGGTAACGTTTTTTTAAACCAATAACAGTCTCACCTTCGCTATTAAATAAAAACGCATGCACCAAAAATTATATATTACCTTATCAATTTTCTCAACTTTCAACACGGCAACAATATCCTTAGCATCCTGATCCTGAGTAACATGCCAACATAAACATTAATGAAGCAACTAAACAACTACACTATAAAAAAAAAACAAGTTTACTTCTAAACAAACCAAACTTAAGGCAAACATATGCTTATTAAATACTGCAACAAATACTTAAAAGTTATGAAAAATCTAAAATTCTATAATTAAACAAAACTTTGGGGAAATGACGTCATGATCGACAATTTTAGTTATTTTATATATGTTATGTTATGTAACTGACAATCGCTAGTTTTAAATGTAATACTTTCCTTTGAATGTACAATACAAATACAATATTAAAGATAGGCCGACGATATTGTCAACGTTCGGAGTCAGCCGAATGTTTGATCAAATAGTGAACAACTTACGACTGACTAACGATATAAATTGCACACTTTTATTCAACTCTGCAACAGGAAGCTATATCTACCTATATCTCAGAGAGACAATTTTTCGCAAATGATATGAGCCAATGAGAAGCAGTCAGTAGCTTTTTGTTTTTACATCGCAATAACAAGGATCAATTTCAATTTGTTGCTGTGAGGTATTCATGTAATATTCACTTGTTTAAGTTGTCACTTTCATTATTAGCTTTTTTGTATTTTAGTTTTTTTTGACACCATGACTAAGTATGTAAACGACAATGAGGGTATCCACGAGTTTTTCTGCCACCAGGGCGGCGCTACTGGAAAGTGAGGTTATTTGACAATTTCCTAGCGGGGAAGTTAATTTGTTCGGAAAATGTAAAGGCTATTGTTTCTTTCTGTATGTACTATTAGCAATATTTTATATTAATAAGATTAAAAATAAATGAACTAAACCACAGATATTCATAAAAGTAGAAAAATTAAAAAAAAAGAGTTAAAAATGTACAAAAGATTAAGGAGAAAACCACTAACGCATGGCTTTGTGTATTAATATAATACTCTAGAAACTGATAAACTTTTATTAAAAACCAACTTCTCAATTAAATTACATTGTGTAACAAAAAACTTTACCTCGGTGTCAACTAACGACATCTGGTGAGCAGAAAATTATTAGCCCTCATTGATCGCCTACTGTGCGATTTTTGATTGATTTTTTTATTTGTTTTATTTTATTATCTGTCTATGTAATTTAGAAATTATAAAAATAAAATAGATAGTTATTATATTACGCCTTATGGTTAAGATTTAAGATATTATTCATAAGTTATAGCTTACATAAATTAGTTTTAGTTAGAATATTATAAATATTACATTATTTGGCCTTTTTCTAAAAGTTCAGAAGGTCGAAGTCGGTTAAAACTTTAGGTTGAACCTACTGAAATAAATGTCGGCTCATCTCTAATAAAAATACAAGTACTGCAATAGTAGAATAATGTGAATCATGACCTATATAATAGGGTATTTGACTTATTTTTATTTACTTATACTAACATACTCTGTATAATATACAAATAGCGATTTTGAAATATAAAACAAGGCAATTTTGAGCCCCACAGAATTATTGTGTCAATTTTATTTACCTTACAGGTCCTAAAAAGAATAGTATTTTTCGACGGAATGTACGTTTGTCTGTTCTTTTGTAGCCTACACTGCTTTTTAAAGATTCTGAAGTGATATGTGTCATCTCTAGAGTACAATAACGTCCTCCAGACCGAATTAAGGTAACGGCGACCAGTCTCAACCGAGACTAGCCATCTGCGCAGGGTAGGATTATAGTGACCAAGTGTATGAGCAAGCGCAGGTACACTCTCTTTTCGATTACTCTCATAGCCTGATGAGAGGGTAATCCGACACGACCGGAGAAATCAAGCGCGGGAATTAGGGCTATACATGCTTTCCTAGGCATGGGGGTGATAGTCCGCCAACTTCCTGACGCCGGGTGCCACTGAGAATTTCTTCACAGAAAAACCCAATAACTAGTTTTTGTCCGACCAGGGCTTTAAACCCGGGTCCTTATTATAAGTAATCGTGTTTATGACCACCAAGACAGTCAAGTCTAATTCCGTGATTGAGTGAGTTGGCATATAGTACATTTTATGGTATTAAAATCAATATGCTTATATAATTTAAAATTTAAAATTTCTAACAGACTTCAATATAAATTATTAAGAATAACTCAAAAAGTATCGGTCTGACCTTGATCAAATTCATATGGGACCACATGTGCAGTACCAGATTTCAAATAAAAAAAGAATTATCGAAATCGGTTCACCCAGTAAAAAGTTATGAGGTAACACACATAAAAAAAACATACAGTCGAATTGAGTACAGTCTCCTTTTTGAGGTCGGCAGAAAAACAACATGGCGCTTGTCTGAACAAATTCCTATGAACATTTATTAATATTATAATATAGTATATCCACTTACGACTATCATGTAATTTTTAGACACAATAGATAACTGCAGAAGATATTCCCTTTTTTTATAGAGTAAGGGTGACAAACGAGCACACAGTCCACCTGATGGTGAGTGGACGGTGTGACCCATAGACATCTACATTTCACCTCGATTAATAATCAAAATGCAGATGCGTTGTCACCCCTGAGAACTAAGATGGAATGCCTCGTTTCCAGTAAAAAAGGGTCTAACTAAACTGGTATAGTTGAAACATATACATTTTATTACTTTCTCTTGAAAGAGCTAAACCTGCAAATAACTAAATTCAGATCAAATTCTAATGCTGTACTTAAAATTCGGTCTTGCACTGAATCGCTTTTTAATAATTTTTTTTTTCAAATGTTAGTCAAATACCCCATTAAAAATAATAACTTGTATTATTCATTAAATGCATACTCATAAAATACTATTAGTAAAATGAAAGTTTTAGAAGAAAAAAAAACTACAAATATCTTAATTACTGTTAAGTGAAAACACTATGTAAAAAGTAAATGATAGTGCAAAATTTAAGCACAAGTAACTTACATTATTGTTTATGGTTTTCATTGTATCATATTGAAATTTCATATCTTCAAATTCCATTTTAACCAAATTATAGGGTTTTTTTCCGGCGCCAAGTTGCGGATAGCAATTGATTATATTCTCACTAACATCTTTCGGTTTGAACTGAGGATGTTCGCAAAGCAACGGTGTTAATATGATAATTTCATACTCGCATGTAGCAGTCTCTTTGAAAGAGTATACTTCGTTCTTTCCATTGATATAACAAACATAGTGTACTCTTGTGATGCGAGGTTTGCCGTTCAGGTCGCACATTGTACCTAAAATATCAATTATTAATAATCAATAATTTATCCACAAGCTCTTTCCTATCACTACGTTAAATGCAATGTTAGATAAGAGTTTGTGAATAAACTCTGTTGATATGGACACATCTGGAATTAATTTATCGTAGAGATGTGTACTTCGCGAATTAAATATACAAATTAACTAGTCCACTTGCCATGCAGTGTAAGCACTGCTATTTAGCAGCAAATAGGTATTGGGGTGGTACCCACCCAGATGGACTCCTGGGCAGAAAAATAGTCCTACCCCGTAAATTTTCGAATTTGTTTGTGTTGATATTACCCACTCAGTGGTAGTGAAGCAACAGTCGTTTACTGTTGTGTACCAATTTGAAGGATATGAAAGACTTTTTGCATTCCGTACCCAATGGGTAACCAATGGGCTTCAATTACTAAGCTACCGCTGTCCGTTCGTCCGTCTGTCTGTCAGCGGGCTGTATCTCATAATCCGTAATAGGTAGACAGTTGAAATTTTCACTAAATTTGTATTCCTGTTGCCGCTATAACAATTAATCATAAGAATAAAACTATTAAAGGGGGCTCCCCTACTACATGATATTAAAATCTTGTACAATGGTACGGAACCCTTCATGCGCGAGTCCGACACGCACTTGGCCAGTTTTTTTAGAATAAGGTTGTCAGATGAACACAAAGTCAAGCTGATGATAAGTAGATGCTTTGGCCTATAGATAACTAAAGGGTCGGCAAAAAAGTTTCTTCGTATTTTATGTACAAATTCCAGACATTTTTTTATTAAATTACATTTAATTATAATATATATGCCATTTTGTTCGATAACTTCTTGCTATCTTATAGGTAGTGACATAATCGAGTTGCTGTAGAAATCTTAGGAGTTTTGATCAAAAAAATGCGACAAGTCAGTCATCACAGTCCTCTCTTGATGTTAACCTAACACTAGGCAAAGTATTCTGAAGAGACCGAAAGAAGTGTAAATCTGAGCATGCAAGTTCAGGACTATATTGAGAATGCATTAACACTTCCCAACCAAGCTCTCTCAATTTTTGCTGAGTGGCCAAAGATGTGTATGGTCTGGTGTTAACACGATGAAAGACCACTCCTTTTCTGTTGATCAATTCGGGCCGGTTTTTCTCAATTTCTTGCTTGAGTCTCATTAGTTGTTGGCAGTAGGGATCCGAATCGATGGTTTAGCCCGGCGGTAAAAGCACATAATAAATGATGCCCTTCCAATCCCATTATACACACAGCATCACCTAATTGTGTGTTTCGCTACAGTCTGTGGAGCTTGACTACTATTTGTCCATGATCTTTTTCATACATTCTTGTTGTACGTGATTCACTTTTCATCACCAGTGATCAATCAGTGATTTCATTATGTTTCAATAGAGAATCGCAAATGAGTACACAATTCCTATAGATATATTATAGAAAAATAATATAGTACGAAAAATACTTTATTTTTATCCCTAATTTAACTGTCGCAATTTTTTATATTAACGATGACTGGAAAACTGGAACAAGTTTTTTGGACAGAATTTTTTCAGTAACGAATGTAAAATGGAAAGAAGAAGGAAATAGAGCATGTCTTAATTTAATTAAAAATTAATTTTTAATTTATTTTAATGTGAATCTAAATTGCTCAGAATCCTGTAATAATTTTAAAGGTAATAAATAGATCATGATGACCAAAGTGAAGAGCAATAACATATCTATATGGAAAAATACTTACTTGTATGTACTTGACATGTACTTTTTATTTCCTGTTTTCCCAAAAGTACTATATTTTTGCATCTTTTTTGAGAATAATACTATATTTGTTCAAAAAAGGTGTCAACCTTAGTCGTAACTACTAATATGCCGATCTTGCTCCATTTTATCAGAAATGACATCAACTTTACCCGTATGAGCGACCAGTGCGATGCATCTTTGACATCAAAATTCCCGAACTGAAAACGCTTGAACCACTTTGTGCTACTCTTACTGACACTGCATTAAGATTGAGTCACAAATAGCAAAAAAGGGACTTTTGTAATAAAACTTCAGAATGTATCGAGTTTCTTCGTTAAATTCACTCATTTTGGTGAACAGAAAAACAATAGAAAAATGTCTTTTGTCTTATGACTTTTTCTTATTGTCCTATGTATATTTATTTATATTAAAATCAGCAGAAATAAAGAGATTTTTCGTCAATTTTATACTAACTAATTACAAAGAAACTTTTTCTCTGACCTATTACATCTATCCTCAATAAAGAATCAAAATGCAGATACTTTGTCAATCCTGAGGATTAAGATGGAATGCCTCGTTTCCAATAACAGGGGTCTCTGATACTCTACACTCATCATATGAAACACAGCAGCACTATCCTGCTATTTTACACTAGTATTCTGTGAGCATGTGGGCCTTTCCTGGTCTGAGTTTAATTGTAACTGTAGTATAAAAAATAGTCTAATAAAAGCTTTAATTACATGCTTCTTACAAGTTCCTTCTCAGTAGGGAACTTGTTGAAGTGATGGTGTAGCAATCTTGACTTTTAAAGGGCTTTATTAAATGCTAATTTTTATTACAAATATTTTAACTATAATTTTAACTTTAGTCAATGTAATGTTTGTAAATGTAATGGTACTAGTAACAGATACCTCCATCCATTATTATTTCCACAGAAGGCAAGGCAACTCTTTCAACTTTTGTAGTTTTCAGTGGTGCTTTTGTTGCTTTTAAATCTGTCATTAGCTTCATTTGATCCTCTAAGGTCCAGAGGCCAAGATAGAATTCCTGAGTTTTGACTTGTTTTCCTGCAAAATATGAAATATGTTTTATTAGAACTTAGACTAGTATTTACACATTATAATTATGCATGTACCACTGTCAGCTAGCAACAACAATAAATTATGTTATGTTGGTGTTGCCAGGTAAATTTGTAATTTTAGTGCTAAAAAAACATACAAAAGTGTTATGTGGTCATATTAAGTATGAATATTTTGTAATATTTTTTATTTGTTTATTTATTTAATTTTTATTACACATCTTATAGTAAGGGATATAAAGGGCGGACTTATTGACTTATGGAATTTTCTACCAGTCAACCCTGGATGATTTGAGAAAATGTGGCAAATGGTAAAACGCACTTCTTTTATTTAATAAATAAGTTATAAATATGTAAGATACAACAAAATGGAAATAAATAGAATATATTTAGTAAATAATTAAAAATATACATACTTAACAACTTAACATCTATTATAGTATAATGAAGAATGAATAATAAATATATAAACATGTGCTTTTATACAAAATCATTAAATAAATAAAATAGTATAATAATACAAAAATAAAATAACATTATACATATTGAAATAAATATTATACAATATATCACTTATAAAGAGAAAGATATAAATAATAATAATAATAATAATATATAAATAATAATAATAATAAACGTATAAATCAGGTTGTATATAATTCTTATAGAATTCAAAAATTAGACTCTTAAAAAAATTATTGTTACCAGTTTTCTTGATATCAGTAGGCAGGGCATTCCAGAGCAGTATGGCCTGCACAGTAAAAGAGGAATTAAAGAAACCACTCTTTATGTGGTGGAACACGAATTTAAGACTGTTTTGGAAACGGGGAACAGGTAACAACCAAGGTAACAGATACTGAAAGTTATCCTTAAGATAAGAAGGAGAACTTGGGTCATTTAAAATTGAATAAAGTACTTGTAAAATTTGAGAGCTATTATGCCTTTGACAAATAGAAAGCCATTTGAGCTTAAAACAGCACAGGGGAAAATGGTCATACGTACGTAAGCTGAAATATAATTGGTAATGTATGCTACAATAGAATTTTTACCATCTCTTTCCTCATGGTACTGCCTGATGTACCTGCCATGACACACTTCATAGCTCCAGTAGCTTTCTAGTCTGTATGTGCAAATTTTCAGAGAAAATAATGGATTCAATAAACTAATTGGTGTTGGTCCATCATATTCCTCAATATTCATTGCCTCCCTGGACTGAAGTTCTGGCAAGTGACATTCATATTTCTCATTTTGTGATGTCATCACTTGCATAACCTCCTTAGGCTGAAAGAAGTAAGGAAAATTTGAATTATTTTGCATCATCATTCTTATTACAGCCCTTTACAAGTCAACTGCTGTACGCAAGCCCCCAAGGAATTCTAAAAAACAAGAACTTAAGCCCAAGTTAATATGTGGTAGAGCTGCATGGCTCTACCACATATTAACTTGCAGCTATATTAGTAGTATAGTTGTAGCACGAATGGGTCGGCTCAACCAGGGAAGAACCACACTCTCACAGAATACCAGCATAAAATAGCAGCTTAATACTGCAGTGTTTTGTATGGTGAGTGTAGAGAACCAGAGACCCTTTTTACTGAAAAAGAGGCATTCCATCTTAGTCCTCAAGGGTGACAATGCATCTGCATTTTAATTCCTAATCAAGGATAGATGTAGAAGTCTATGGGTCACAGCAACCACTTACCATCAGGTGTGTGCTCTTTTGTCAACCTATCCTATTAAAAAAAGATGCTCTATTGACTACATGTGTTACCAGTATATCACTCCTAGTAGGAGGTCTCCCTATACTTTTATTACTTTTAAGAATAGAGGTTGCCTCTCTATAACTTTTTTAATCATCAATTGTCTGTTCCTTTAAGACATCACAAAGGCGCAGACTTCCTTAACATGTAATTCTCTAACTTCCCCTGAGAATTTAAGGTATTTCAAGTTTATCACTTTTGTTGCTTTGTCAGTACAACTTTACTACTCTTCAAAAGTGAGACAATTTATGGAATAACTGTTATCTGGAGGGGTTGCATAAAAAATTTAAAAATAGTTATAAGTTTTTAAAGGATTAAGGTGCGTTGGGGTAATACCGGACAGATTTTCGACTAGTTGAAAGAGTCTGGCAAAAACTTTATTTTCTCGACACCCGTATACGTCAGATTTCTGGAACATGGCGCAAATCATTAATGGTTAAATGTAGTTTAACTATGAGAATCTTTTGCTTTTGTAAACTAAACGGTTTCTGCTTTAAACATGTGGGAAGACAAGACATACTTTTTTATATGCATCTTGAAGAATTTGCCATCAAGGGGTAAGACCGGACTTAAATTTAAAGCCACTTCTACTGCTTAGAGAACAAAGTTAATAAAAGGGATTTGTCATATCTTTAACGCTCAAAAACATATTTCAATATGATCTATAAATTACTAGAAACATAAATGTTCCAAACGGTTTTCTCTTTCTTTGTCTCTTGGCATCCGATCTTATCCCTGATATAAAGAAATTGTAATTTTATGGTTCTCAAACTTTGTTATGACATAAGATGGAATTATTCAATATAAGGGAAAGATCAGATGCATTTGATTTTTTTACTGGGTAAGAAAATTGTATTTAAACAATCTAGAATTTTTAAATAATATGTAACAGTAAAGACTGGCGAAATGCCCTGGGGCAAAACACGAGTAGAGGAAGATGTAAGCCTCATATGGCGAAGGTTGTAGTTGGTTAATTGATAGATTATTTAGGGTGCAAATTTGTATGTGTGTTAATCAGCAGGCGTGAACCTATTTGTAGAGTTAATTAGAATCAGAATATGGGCATGAAGTTGGAAAAAGTAAAGCAAAGTGGACTAGACTAGGAAAAGGAATGTGGGGCGAAATTTTCCCATGAAACTGAATTAGTTCTAAGTTTATCTAATGAGATAAATATTTTATGAGATGAGATAAACGTTATCTTATAAGTTTTGTATTCTTTGAATAGCAATTTAAAGGGCTTTTTGTTTGAAGCATCTGCGGATAAAATATTACTGTAAGTAATGCGGCCGCAGCACTGAGCGCGTCACAGCATAAACTAGTGCAAATATATCGGCATCTCACAAAATATATAGGTAGACAACTAAGTTCCGAAGATTAGTTCTAAATAAGTTTTGTAATTATCAATTGTTGCAAGCTATTGAGTTAATGAATAGCTAAGTATGCTGGTAACATTTAATAAAACGATATATTTCAGTAAGACGTAAGTTAGCAGCATATTAACATTTTCGAATATTCTAATTTTTGGGGTCATTCATCCACCATATTGTTGCAAAATGCGAAGAATTGTCAATGTTTTTAATGTGTATTTAAAAGTAATAAAACCATTCTAAAAATTAAGGTCAATTAGGTTCAATAGATTTGATAGCACTACTGAGTCCCGTAGACACTTAAGTAATCTTCGAAAGAATATACACGACATATGAAAGTTTAACAATCACTGCCATATTTGTAACGGGTAAAGATAGGATAAAATTCATCCGATCTTCACTCGCGTGGGGAAACATCGGATCTCAGCCTACAGCGATCTTGGCCCACTTTGAATCAATTTTATCTGGCTGTAACTTCATAAAACTTAGTATTCAGACAAAATAATAACAATAGAAGCTATATTCTCGCTAAAAATCACAAATAAAAGTGATAGGGAAAGACCGGATGGACAAAAAAAAATACAAAAATTATCTTGATTTATAAAATGCCGCTCAGCACGCGTCCTACTTCCCCTAGCGAATGGCAGGAACTTGGGGTCGGGGCAGAATGAAATGGCGTCGTGTACCATATTGCTAGCATTTAAAAATATAGCATAATTCGTCGGAAATTTCAATCTTACGGTCTTGCCCCATCACCGATCTTACCCCAACGCACCTTAAATTTTTAGATTTTATTAGTTAAGTGATAAATAATTTTTAATTCATCCCGGTGGACAGGAAGTTGTTTTTCACTTCAGATGAACAATAGAAAATCCGATTTTTGAACGATTAGGAATAGCCTATAATTAATAAATTGTTTACATACCTGAGGCTTGTTAACTCCGTCGACTACATTTTCTAGGACATCCTTTGAACCAGGCCAATTTATGCCAAATAATATGGTGTCATCAAATCCTTTAAAGTCATGTTCAATACATTTCACAAAAGCTAGAGTACTTAAAACTAAAAACCAGGAACTTTTCATTATTCTACCAACGGGTAATATCCTTTCTTTAATACGGTATTTTCTTTACATTACAAATACTCAATAAGCAGTAATAAATAACTCAGCAATCAGTAAATCAGTGATAAATAATAAATAATTAAGATTTAGACATACTTTTTAGAGGTACTTTTAAAATGTATCTCCAAGCATTGTAATTCACGTGCACAACATAAATTGAAACTGATTTTGAACTGATTGATGGAAATATAAAAGGTATATTATACTCTATTCAATAGTGGTTTAGTAATTAAAATAAGTAAGTAGCAAGCATATGTGGCATAAAATCAACCATAGAAAACGGTAATTGTATTTGTGTCATACATTTTGGTTTTAGTCGGATAATACTTGAAGTGACAAGTGATTTGGTGAGTTTTTATTTGTCAATAGTGATTTTTATTTATTAATAGTAGCATTGGCTCTAAGGCTTTCAGCCAAAAATGTTAATAATTCTATTATATTTAAATAAAAATCTCATGAAACAAATTTCAAAATATGTCAATGCGTTACATAGCAAACTTATTAGGCCCACCTCATACATCATACATACGGAATTCCGATTCGAGATTCCGAACGCATCAAGTTCATATAAAATCTATGACCCGTCACACACGTACGGTAGTTTTCAGTTCGAAATTTTGCGGGAAAAACGGGATGTAGCCGACCCGTTTGAAATTCTGAACCAGAATTCCCAGGCCCGCTTGCGCTCCCAATTCTGAACGGAAAAAAACGTTCCGAACGCAAGTCTTCCATAGATTTTCTATGAGTCTCAACACATTCGTAATCTCCGTACGGAACGTGCTCAGTGACTCAGTGTGCGTCTCACGACCGAAAAGAGTAGTCGTGTTTATACATGTTTTTACATGTAATCTTATGTGCTTATCTCTCTTCGTAACCTTTCATCTTATTTTATTTAATAATTCATCGAAACAGTGTACAGACATTCATGATTAAAAAAATATCTCTGGATAGATAAATATTTTTACATAATATTGACTAATATTGCAAGCTTAGGGTGATAAGGGGATGCATCCAGTAACAATGATATAGCAACAATGGAATCGCAATCAGAAACTCATCGTCATTATCCGCTAGCAATATGTCTAAACTCAATGGCTATACTCAACCAAATCTAAGCAATTCCTTTTGACGTTTCATACTAATCATTCCGCAATAACTTTGTTCAAGAGTACTCACACGATTTAAAATAACCTTTTACGTAAATCCAAAGAACTATGAAGCTATTAATATTTCATTACAACATGTATAGTTCTTTACCACTAATTTAAATTGGAATCTTTCAAACAAAGCAAAATATAAAATAAATTATCAGAATCAACTTTTGTGTTTGACGTTGTTTCAATGATATGTCATTGTGCACCTTATCGTAGTGCTTGGATGATTCAAATTCATGCTAATGCGAATAATTGGTAAAATATTCAAATAATCGATCCTTTACATTTTTAATTTATTATTTGTTTATTTAAATTTTTATTTTTAGAGTTGCATAAATTATATGAATGAAGGGAAACTCACTGTGGTGAAGTTGCGAGTAGGAATGTTTAGAAGATGCCGGCTTGTTAATTGACAATGGTAGTATAGAGTTATTACGAACCATTCGAAAAGGAATTTGCTTCTGAATAATTATTTGGAGTTTTAGAGACATAAATAACGTTTTTACACGAAATTAAAAATAGTTTGAAAAATCCAAAAGTGCACACCTCATGAGCGTTTCATTTTTAATTTTGACGAAAAAACATAATTGTATTTCTGACTTCTAAAATATATTATCTACGTGTTTTAATTTAGCGCACTATTATTTTAACAGGTAGTATCACCTACAGGGAAAAATTAATAATGTTAACTAAAATAAATCGATAACACATAGAATAAAATCGATTTAGACTATATGGTATATTTGTCCTTTGTCTATCAAAGGCTAAAAAATTTATAAGCGCCTTTAATTTTTTAATAGCAATAAAACTTATAAAAGTTGAAAATCATTTTATTAACAAACTACACATACTAGGCTATTGATATGAAATAGGGAAACAGCAGAACTCGTACCTGATACACCAATTTTTTCAGAAGTTATCGTGACCACATACAAAATCAACATCCGGACGTCCACGTAAAATATTTTCAAACCGTTTTTTTTTTCAAAGTAGCAATATTAAATGATTTGTTAGAAAATATAAGATGGATTAATTTGAGTGTTTCTTGATATACGGCTACTCATATTATCGTATGAGTGCAATACGTTTATAGAGGCATTAGAACACAAAATTGCTTGACCTTGACGTGTCGAGAGTAAAGCACTACCTAATAACGCTTCACGCTATAAGGTGTGCAATATAACCAATTGGGACAACGTTCTATTCATTGATGAAACATGGCTAAGCAACACAACCACGTGGACACATGAACCCGTGAGAAAAGTCAGGCGTCTCATAATTTGTCACGTGGGATCTGCCGAAAAAGGATTTGTAGAAAATGCAACTACTACACAAGCGATCACTGGGCCAAATTGATGAAGAAAACAAAGAATATTGACATGGACGACTATGATACCTCATAGAGGGGATATTTTCCATAGTTGCAACGCTTGGCAAGTGGGTTGGTAACCGCCCTTTTTTTGTTTTTAGTCTTAATTGTTGAATTTATTATAGAACATCAAACAATAATTACTAATAAATGTAAACAAAGATGATGACGACAACAGCTCAACTAGTTGTAGTGAGTGACTAATTAAATTTTAAGTAAATTTTATACAGGCTGTCCCAGTAATGGTAGATAATCTGGTACGTATGTAATCGGACAGGGGGAGATGGCCTCGGTTCCCTAAAAAAAAAATTCTACCCCGAACGGTTCGCGCTCTACGACATGTTTTATAAAATTCCGAAAATTCGTACTTCTGCTCACATTTGTGATCATCACGTCCACATTTTAATGCCTAGATCGGATTTTTTTCTTTTAATGTGTTCCCTAATAATGATGTTTCTAAATTACCCTTAAATGTTTTCAACTACTATGGGTAGTATTTTACAAGACAGCACTAAACATAAGTTTACATTTTTTACTTTATTTATCTGCTAATTTTGAGCACCTGTGGTGAAAAAAAAAAACTTATGAGATCTGTGTGGCCAACCATTTAAAAAGTTTGCCTACATCATGAGGATTCTAAAACATTAGCATATTATGTATAACCTGTCGGAAATATCTGCGAACCTGGCTTGATGACGTCATGCAATATGGAGAGATGGCAACGGTACTGGATAGACGATAACGGGCGGAAATATCTGCGAACCTGACTTGATGACGTCATGCAATATGGAGAGATGGCAACGGTACTGGATAGACGATAACGGGCGGAGGTGCGGGGAAGCGCGAGGGGAAGCGCATTCCAGCGAGGTTCGCAGATATTTCCGACAGGTTATACTTAATATCATTACTTACTGAGCTATAGCCGTTAATGTGTAAAAGTAGGCATTTCATTACAAAATTACAAAATTATTGGCAGATAGTTTTTTTTTTATATTGCATGTCTTTATTAGATTAAAGTACATCTGTAGCCCTTGAACATATTACTTTACATTGCTACATTGCTTGCCTTGTTTGATCGAATTCTAAGCTGTGTGAGCGAGACAAACAGTGAAACTTGACATGTTCTATTATGTACAGCTATGAAAATACGGTTTGAAATGTTTTCCATTTGTTAAGAATGAGTAAATTAATGAAAAGAACATGCGTTATAATCATTTTTTTTATTTAAAATTATTTACAGAAAATGCTCGAACTGGCCTCCTCCGGCCATTATGCAGGCTCTACATCTTTTTACAAACGATCTTTCTAAAAGTCTGATAATTTTTGGTTGAAATAACCCTTGATGCTTTTGTGACGCGAAGTCTAAGTAAGTTGATTGTTTCAATTGTTATTTATAAACATGTTCTTTGAGGCAGCCCCAATAAAAAATCTAATGGGTCAAGATCAGGTGATCTTGGTAGCCACAATAACGGCTCCATTCGGCCGATCCATCGGTCACGATGGGCTTCGTTCCCCTCACCTGATATCGGTCATAATATGACCGCAAAATGTAAGCCCTTACTTGATACCGGTCATATTATGACCGTGTCGCAAGCTCCGAATTCAAGTCTGTTTTCTTAAACCAATTGATGTTTTGGATCGTGTGAGCAGGGCAGTATGACTCTATAGTTTGTTCTTATTCATTTAAGTCAGTGAGAACAGACTTCCTTTAAGAAAAAAAAAATGTTTATCTAATCTTTTCGAGGACGTAGTTTCGTGGTGTGCGTGAAGTGCTTCCGAATTATTTTTTTGTGATATTGTGATAGTGTGTCTTCTTAAATTACGTTAACATCATGCCAAGGTAAGTGGTTTTTCGTTTTAAGTCTAAGTTATTCAGATTCGTGCCTGTAATTCAGGGTAAACAAATATTTTCTTTGATTACTACCATCAATTCGCCGGTACGCCGACATATTTATTTATATTTTACATAATAATTCTTGATGTGTTGGAAATGTTTTTGTTGTTTTGAGTGAATAATTACATAAAAAACAGTAGTTATGTGCAGAATTCCTTAAATTCATTTTAATTTGAATATTTTACGGCAAATGTACTGCAGGGACTGGCCGGTCATATTATGACTGTATCAAGCAGTGTCATTGTACTCCAAAATGGCGGATTTTTATTTAGTAACACAGTATGGATAAGACTGTGCTACCGTAAAATAATGTTTATAAATTTGAATTGCTTTTTATTGTTTTTAACCGCAAAAAGAGGGGTGTAAAATAATGTACACCCTGGGCAAATTTAGGTGCAATAAAAAAAAAACAAAATGGCGGCAAGAAAATGTCTCTGTCTGTCTGTACTTATATTCGTAGTGCATAAATGTATCAAGCGATTTCAATGAGGCTTTTTTATTTGGGTGTAATTTTAATATAATGAAATAAAAATAAAATATATAA